GCAGACTCTAATTAGAATACCTCAATTCACTATTGTAGGATTTCTGGAATATGTGAAAAAATGTATTTGTAGGAATCTAGTTGAAATATTTGAATATATGAGTATATGAGTAAGGATATATGTTTATGTTGCGCGGAATTATTGATTTGTTCATTTAGGCGCATCAATATTTGGCCGATGCAAATGAAGCGGAGTCGTGGATGCGTGAGAAGGAACCCGTGGTTGGAAGTACTGACTATGGTAAAGATGAAGATAGTGCGGAATCGTTGCTGAAGAAGCATCGTGCGCTGACGTCTGATCTTGATGCCTTCAAAACGACTATCGATGTGAGTTCGATCGAATCTTGTGAACTTCATCGATTATATCGTTGCCACTTTGATATATCATTCATTTGATATGGTGATAATATATCGTAGTTTTTGATCGTCGTTTTTTTGATTGAATGTATCGTGTTATTATTCAATGATTGAAGGAACTACGCAAGCAAGCGGCACAGTGCAAATACCAAGAGCAACCCGGTGGGCAACTGGGCCGTGAATGCGTGTTGGCCCTGTATGATTATACAGAAAAGTCGCCGCGAGAAGTTTCGATCAAGAAGGGCGATATTCTCACATTACTGAATTCATCAAATAAGGTTCCGTTTTCATAATCGGTGTTCAGTTTTGTAGAAGTGTAATGCACAAACGATTCGTGTTGCAAATGAAAATAGTGAAATTCATTCGATGAATTAGAAATAGAGTAACAAATTGAGGTGAGTTTTTGGCTGTCCCTTTTCAACAGATTACAATGACTGATAATTTGAATGTGATTATTCAAGGATTGGTGGAAGGTCGAGGTAAACGACCGTCAAGGTTTCGTGCCAGCCGCATACGTTAAGAAAGTTGAACCAGGGGCTGCACAACAACCATCACAGCAGGTAATAAGATTGTCTTGGGATGATTGTCTATTGACGAAAATTCATAATACTCGACAGTGTGTTGAAGTCGGATAAGAATTATACTGATCATTTAAAGGTTTCATCGATCGGTGTTAAACAAAGCGAAATCGAAGATCAATACCAGAAATTGGTGATGTTAGGTGAAACAAGAAAGCGTAAATTGGAAGAGGCATGCAAGGGCTATCAGTTGTTACGTGAGGCAAACGATTTGGCTGAATGGATTCGTTCACGGGTTTGTTTTGTTTCTGGTTTATCCGTTTTCCATTTTTTCGTTCCAATTCTTTCGTCTNTTAAAATTGAGCATGCAACGTAATCGATTCTCTTGCTGAATTCATGATCGCTTTCGTTTTAGCAAACTGATTAATCTTTTAAATCACTCAATTGATTTCGAGAAAATACCGAAGATCACATGAAATATTCGCATCACTTAATGATACAAATTCACTTTTGTCAACTTCACTAAACTACGACACCTCCAATGAGAAATTATCTCTTTCATTAATTTGCGTTCTTTGTCGCTTTGCAGCTTCTAATTGCTTTTTAATCTTGTGAAATTTATCGATTAAGTTTCAAGCAATTTTTATCGGAGAAAATATGAAAAGCCCATTTTAGTTGTGATTTTTTGAAGGTGGATGATTCACTCATTATTGAGTTATTGCTGATTTCAAATGTTTGTGATCATCGTTCGATGTCATAATAATTGAGTTCCTATTTCGTTCATTCATTTAACACATCTGACTGTTCCGTTTTGTTTTTTCTTCTTGATTTCTTTTCTCGTCATTTTTGATTTAATCTAATTTTCATTTATTAATTTCTTCACGTTTCACTAATATTCAGACTCAGCTGGCCGATGTGAGTTATTCATTCAAACTTGATGAAATCCAGCCTCCGTTTGTTTTAGGAACTCATAGTTTCATTTCATTTTTATTTTGACGAAGATTCATTTTTCCTCAAGTTCATTTAGTCGTCAGATTTGAAGTTATTATTAGTGCTTCTGTGATTGTCTTGTAATGTACGCAATAATTTGTTTTACTGTTGTCATTTTTATCGCAATTGTGGTATTAATTGCTATCGTTATTTGTGCTTTTGTTAATTTTTTTGCTATTGATATTTCATTCCGATGTGTGGTTGGATGGGTAGTGTTTCAGCGTTATGCATAATGATACTGAACACCGGATGCAGATGAACTTATAAACGGTAAAGCTGAATATCATCAGAAATAATCAGTAAGAAGAAAGCCATCTCCCTCGAATAACTGATTGAAGTTTATGAAACGTGTATATTGCTTCTTATCGAAATGAAGCTTCGATGCTCTAAACTGAGGATTACCCCGGGAGGTGGGGGGGGGGAGGTATGTGGAACATTCTTAGACGTTGCTGAACGTTAGTTGTTGTTTGTAGATACTAGAATTCATTGAGTAGATGAAAGAAAAAAATCATGGTTGGTGAATTTTCATGTCAAATTTCAGGAAGCAGTTGCTGCCCAACAAGAGATTGGTACCGATTTGGAGCAAGTGGAAGTGTTGCAGAAGAAGTTCGACGACTTCAAAGGTGATCTAAAAGCGAACGAGATGCGTCTTCAAGAAATGAATCAAATCGCCACATCGCTCACCTCTGTTGGACAAACGGAAACCGCCGTGAGAATTCGTCAACAAATTGAGGATTTGAACGCGAGATGGCGAGCGCTCGAAGAGCAAACGGAACAGCGTGAACAGCAACTGGGTTCAGCGCACGAAGTGCAACGTTTCCATCGCGATATCGATGAGACGAAAGACTGGATTCTGGAGAAAGACGAAGCATTGGATTCCGAGGACTTTGGTCGGGATCTGAGATCCGTACAAGCGTTGCAACGTAAGCATGAAGGCGTCGAGAGAGATTTAGCGGCTCTGGGCGATAAAATCAAAACTCTGGATGAAAAAGCGAATCGTTTGCGTCAAACACATCCTGAAGCAGCCGAGCAAATCTACGATTTGCAGCGTGAAATCAACGAACAGTGGAATCGACTGACGGCAAAAGCGAATAACCGTAAAGAGAAATTGCTGGACAGTTACGATTACCAGCGCTTCCTGTCAGATTTTCGTGATTTGATGCAGTGGATCGCTGCAATGAATCAGCTGGTCTCAAGCGATGAACTGTCAAACGACGTGACCGGTGCAGAAGCATTGCTGGAACGTCATCAGGAGTATCGCACTGAAATCGATTCACGTGCCGCTACATTCCATGCGTTCGAACAGTTCGCAAATCAGTTGCTGAACAGCCATCATTATGCATCAGAGAATATCAAGCAACGATTGGATGATGTGAATGATGCACGACAAAAACTTGAAGAGTTAGTCCATTTATTGCATTCGGTCCAATTTCAGATTTCGTTGGTAAGATATGAGATAAGATCGCGATCCTCTACGATTTTATCTCATATCTTCTACGGTGTATTAAGTTCGTTCCTGTGCTGCTTCATGAATTATTCGCATAGGATGCAAAATAGAATAAATGTTACCTGATGAATGAAGAATACTCAAACTGAATCACTAAATGAGTAGTCTGTTGCAATAAAAGTAATCTTTTGCAGTGCATGGGTACGTCGTCGTCACATTCTCGATCAATGCTTGGAACTTCAACTGTTCTACCGGGATTGTGAACAAGCCGATACATGGATGAGTGCTCGTGAAGCGTTCTTGAATCAAGAAGATGCGGGTGATAATGTCGAGAGTTTGATCAAAAAACACGAGGATTTCGACAAGGTTTCTTTTTGCATGGGTTCGATTCATTCGCGTTCATCTGTTGCACAAGGCTGAAACTGCAATGATTTTTCATCTCTTGTGTCGAAATAATGTCGAATTGAAAGTATCAGTAAAGATGAACGTTAAATTTTAAAAGTAGATGCAACTCGTTGTTTCAGGCAATCGCATCTCAACAGGAGAAGATCAGTGGTCTTGAAACGTTTGCGAATCAGTTGATCAATCAAGATCACTATGAGAAGGATGCGATCGCAGACAAACGCAATCAAATCCTTCAACGTTGGGAACGTTTAAAGGGCGCATTGATTGAGAAACGTAGTAAGCTGGGTGAATCGCAGACACTGCAACAATTCTCGCGAGATGCTGACGAAATCGAGAACTGGATTGCTGAGAAGTTCCAAATCGCGCAAGAAGAAAGTTATCGTGACCCGACACACATTCAGCAGAAGCATCAGAAACAGCAAGCATTCGAAGCTGAGTTGGCAGCAAATGCAGATCGTATCGCAACACTGATAACTGCAGGACAGAATCTTATCGATGGAAGCAAGTGCGCTGGTGGAGAGGTTCCATCTGCAAGTGTTAAACTCCTTACTAACATTTCATTTTTATTTGCTCTCTCTTGTGTTTTCTATTCTTGCCATCAAGTAGACCTAAAAAGAAGTAGGTGATTAATTGTAAGCGCTTGATTCAGTTGTGTCCTACTAATACGCATGCTGATCAATGC